TATCGGCTGACACTGATCAATTTGAACCATAACACTAACAGAATAAGTGTGTGTTTGATTTACTAGCGGTTGTGGTAGATTTATGTATTTGGTAGCGTTACTGCATCCCATGTTTGTACGGATGGTAAGGTCGTCAACACCACTGATGACCTTCGTTTTGTTAGATTATTGGTTATAGGATTGCCAGCTTGTCAAACTTAGTTAAAGTTGAAATAGTTTATTTATATTCCGATATTAAACTACTTAAAACAACATATTTAAAAGAGCAACACACAAGTTTCTTGCTCATTCTTCTTGTGATGAGTCTGCGTTTCGAATAAGTGGTAGAATAAAAATATGTGACTATTCAAAAGTGCGTATATTAAGTTTGTTTGAATAAAGATTATTTCTATATTTTTGTTGCATATGTTAATTTATATTAAACGCAAAACTGTGTTCTATTTGGTAGCTTTTCAATCATTTTGTATGAGAAATATATGACGTAATAAACTCAGCACATTTCACACAGTGCTATCTAGTCCATAGCTAAGCACAGCTTGTGCTATGGATATTAGACAACTCATATAAATACTTAGATATTGTTTTTACATACATAATATACATAGAAAATCTACAGACCGATACAAACAATCTTGAAGACAAATGTGTGCACCGTGCGAGGAATCGAACTCGCGACCATAGGAAGTATTAAACCCCTAGACCACCGAAATCGATATATTTATTTTTTATTTATTTATATAACTTCAATGCACAAAATACCAAGGTAAAAGTACATATGGCGGACTTAACGCCTTACGCCATTTTCTATCAGTCAACCACAGGCTGTGCAGAGAAACTGTAGCCGGTGCAAATGTAATCAATATGAAAAATAATACCTATGTCATAAATAATATATATTTACTAAAAGTAAGTACATGTAAATATCCATATACATACAATATACATAAAGCTACAGATAAATATGAATAAAATATATACATAAATCAAATATACCATATAACATACTTAAGAGTCTGACAATGAAATAGCAACAGCAGATAGAACGTAACAAAAAAACATGTATGGTATGTCCTTTTAAATAAAAAAGGTAGGATTTGAAAATTGAGGATAACTCGAAATGAATAAAATCGCGACTATGGGAAAAGATATGATTTTTCTAACGTTAGTTATGTGAATGGCTAACCGACACCCAGAGCCAATTTAGAAAAATCGCGTTTAAATTACAGCCGGCTCTTATTACTCTTGCTTGCGTAATGGTGACTAAAGGGTGTAGTACACTATCAAATAAATAAATATGAGCCGTAAGCTGAAGTGCCACCGTAGTCGTATATATAAATATGTATATTTATTAGTTTTTTCCTAGTAATGTTTTTTTTTTATTCTAATCGATTACTTAAGTCGATACTAATTTTGAGCGTCGTGTTTGAACCGAATAAATATCGTCATTTTAGGCCTCCGTTCAGGTATTTAGTCTTTTAAAGGTAAAAGGTTAGAAGGATGGAAAGAATTAGTTGGATATGGATGGATAAGGATAAACTAAGAAAAGAAGTTCTACACAGAGTAAAAGAAAAAAGGCAGATATTGAACACAATAGAAAATAGACGAGGAAATAAGTTGGGACACTTGATACGGCACGATGATTTCATGAAAATTATTATTGAGGGGAAAATAGAGGGAAAGAGGGGGAGGGGAAGACTAAGGCCCAGCTACATCAAACAAATTAAGAAGAAAATGGGAGTTATGACGTATCAAGAATTAAAGAGCATGATGGAAGATCGCGGAAAATGGCAAGAGCTTCACCTACAAGAGCGTAGCTCTTAAATTATGAATGAAAGAAAGGTAACAGACAGTTAGACACATATTTTAGTGCGGATTGTGGCACTGGTTGCGTAAATACGGTGCGTCAATAGTGCGGTAAACTGCGGCCGGAGACGAGACGCAATGTCGAACCAATGTCGCATCGGTCGTAACGCAAGAAAGGTCACTCCTCAGGATTTTATACCCGCTCCGGCGGTGAAAGGTCGATGGCACCCACTCTTTGTAATGTATCGATATTTTTAAACATTATTACTATTTCTTAATTTACTAAAAATTAAGAAATGGATATAATCTTTATCCAAACAAATTTAATATACGCACTTTTGACGGCCTCGGTGATCCAACGGTATAGCACACCGCTTTACTTCTGATGGTCGCGAGTTCGATTCCTCGCACGGTGTAAATATTTGTATTCATACAAGATTTACTTTAACTTGGGTCTAGACAGCGCTGTGTGAATTGTTAAAATAAAATTAAATAATAGAAATAATCTTTATGCGAACTAATTTAATATAAGTACTTTTGGATAGTATTTTTTTTTATTCTACCACCCATTTAGAACACAGACTCATCACTTCTTGAGCTACACGGAAGAGTTAGATTTAATTAAAGAATGAGCAAGAAACTTGCGTGTTGCTCCTTTGAATAGTCATATTTTCTCACTTTCCACTCATTCGACCATCACGCAAACTTATCAGATGAAGAATGAACAAGAAACTTGCGTGTTGCTCCTTTGAATAGTCATATTTTCTCACTTTCCACTCATTCGACCATCACGCAAACTTATCAGATGAAGAATGAACAAGAAACTTGCGTGTTGCTCCTTTGAATAGTCATATTTTCTCACTTTCCACTCATTCGACCATCACGCAAACTTATCAGATGAAGAATGAACAAGAAACTTGCGTGTTGCTCCTTTGTATAGTCATATTTTCTCACTTTCCACTCATTCCACCATCACGCAAACTTATCAGATGAAGAATGAACAAGAAACTTGCGTGTTGCTTTTATAAATAAACGTTGCTCTAAATAAATACGCATTAACAAGGATTAGGTGTGCGGAAATCAACATAGAGCACTCAATCTTTGTGCAATCAGATAACATTGTCAGCGCTATAATTTTAAGTTAGATTTTTTGTATATAAACATTATTATCATATATAAACTCTTCATATACAATGTATATTTATATAGGTGTCTATGTCTAATATTAAATGAAAATCCCGTGCATGAACAACTATTGCCATGCACGCTCGTCATTCAAGTAATCGTAGTGAGTAATAAAAAACGGGTTTTGCTCAGTAAATATGATTTAACAGTTGTTTTGAATTTATTAAAAAAAAAAGAATACAGCTATCTAACAATATAATTTGTTATCATTAATTTATTAATGATAACATTAATTTATTAATTTATTAATGTCTCACCTCGTATAATAATCACGTATAATCGTATTCATTTCCGTACACCTACACAAGTGTTTGTTTGTTCTACACATAAATTATATTCATAAGTGAGCTAGTGTTTCTGAATCATATTTAAAACAATGCATATGACACTTGCACGTGTATGTAAATATATAACATACCTGCTGTTACTAATGTTGATAAATGCGAGATATATGTTCCGATCGATCCCTCCAATTATATTTTATTACTACGATGGTGGCAACAAGCATACGGCTCATGTGATGATAAATGGTTGCCGTAGCCTATGGACGCCTGAAACTAATTCAAACGGGGATCGAAATTACGACTGCCTGTGCCGAGGTTCAAACTCCTAGCGGTGCCCTCAGGCTGAAGTCGTACCGTCAGGCCGGAGGTAGCCTTCAGCCGCTCCATAAGTAGGTCTCCACTCCATGTACGTTACATACGTACATCGTTTGACTCACGGAGAGTGTTCTGAGGAATTGTTTGGATTAATACCATCTGCTGAGGTTCACCATCTCACTAACCAGGGTAGGCGAACCAATGGCACGTGTGCCATTGACGGCACGCGACACAATATTTTGGACACATCGTCGATCATAAAACTGCTTGAAGAAGCTGGCTCATGCTATTTTAACAATATTTTTACATATCTATGCCTGCGAGTCATTATTTTCAGAGGTGAATCACATTAAAAACTCGGTTAGAAACCGTTTGATAGATGAATCCAGTTCAGCATGCATTTTGCTAAAAGTAACATAGTACAAACCTGACATAAATTATTTGTCATCTAACCTGCAGCAACACAAATTTTACAGTAATTTAATTTATGCGTGTAATGAAAACAATCCAAAATGTACTTCTTTTGTTTACTTTAATTCATAGAGATTTTGATAGTATTTATCATTATTATTTTCCAAATAATCAGAAAGTAAAAATTATTTGATGGTACGTCAATGACCCCATTAAACATTTTTTTTGGAAAAAAATGGCACGTTGATGCATAAAGGTTCGCCTACACTGCACTATACTATTATAAGAAATACCATCCAGATCATCTGGAGGATTGGTAGTCTTCCACGTGCGTTTTTTTAGAATTTTTGTCCACACACAACCACGCTGTGGAAGCTCTTGATTGGTAATCAAGAGCTTATTTTGTGTGCATTTGCTAATGCGTGTACTTGCAATTACCCTGGTGTGTTTCTCTGTTCATAAACACTTATATATTCACATAAACATAATAATGTGTTTATGTGAATATATATGTATGTATGTACATTATATATTCACATAAACACATTATTATATTTGACGACCTCGGTGGTCTAGCGGTCAAGCACACCGCTTTACGACCGATGGTCGCGGGTTCGATTCCTCGCACGGCACAAACATTTGTATTCATGAGTATGATTGTTTGTAACGGTCTGGGTGTTTTCTATGTATAATATGTATGTATTTAAAAAAAAATCTATGTATATGTATCAGTTATCTAGTACCCATAACACAAGCTCTAGCTAGCTTAACTTGGGTCTAGATGGCGCTGTGTGAATTGTCCTGAGATTATTATTATTATATTAGTATTAAGTTAAGCGCTTTCGCTGCAGACAAACTGCTGAGTAGTTTTGCGGCTTGATATTTATATTTTATTATTGTATAAATTAGTACGTAAATAAATAAAAAAAAAAACTTTACATCTGTGTTATGATAATATAATTCTTTAAAATAATTTTAATAATCTGTATTATCAATTCGCAGGACATGGCAAAACACACAAGGACGCGGCGAGCGTGCGCGCAACTCACCCCATCCCGGCGGCGTGCGGCCTCTACTACTTCGAGGTGCGGATCGTGTCGAAGGGCCGCGACGGATACATGGGCATCGGGCTCTCCGCACACGGCGTCAACATGAACCGCCTGCCTGGTCAGTTACAACTATCTATTATTAAAATTAAAATTCAATATCTTCATTCATGTAGGTCTATTACAGACTCTTATGATATGCCAAATCTACCGTCAGTTCGGAATGATTTCGAGATGAGAAGAACTGACAAGAAACTCGGCTCGTATTCTTTTCAAATGAATGTTGTACATGTTTACAATAATACAGATTCATTTTAAATTCAAATTTGGGAGAGTAGAGTGACCATCAGCATATTATTTAGCACTTCAAATTGATTACGTGGGTGCTAGAGAATGCTATCAGGTATACATATACCTGATAGCATCCTCTAGCAGTTAACCGTCAGGTTGGTCAGATAACAATAATAAAGGCGTAATTTATTTATTCATTTGTAACTTGCGAATCTGTCGAGTCTCGCACGAATGCATTACAAATCTTTCTCGGTTATACATTTAAAAATTCCTCTTGAATCACTCTATCTATTGCTCAAAACTGCTGTGAAGGATGGAGATCAAGATGACGAGCAAAAAACGGCACCGTTGTAGTTGTAGAATATTATTTGTATTAAATTGACTTATGTCATATAAAAACAATATAATATTATAAAAAATATAGACAATAAAAAAGGTATATAAAATAGTTTCCAACAACTGCATTAAAGTCCGTTGCGTAATTTAAAGGATATAAGTGAATAAACAGCGGTGGCGACTTTGTTTTATACTATGTAAAGATGCTTTATAGCAACATTAAAATTAGATACAATGAATAATGAAACAAACGGTTGAAGAAAGAAAGAGGAAAAAAGGCGTTCTTGTCGCTCTTCCAGACAGAGAGAGAGAGAGTCACCTTAGGAAAGAGATTGTTAATGAAAAAACAAAGTAGTAATAAATATAATAAATAAATATATATGTAAATAATTACACATATTATACACATATAAAACATACATTTAATGCTAATAATCGATGTCGAGTGAGAACTGTCGTTCTGCAAGCTGCTAAGAAGCAAACTGCAATCCAAATCTGCGCAAAGGCTCCACAGATTTGAAGTGCTACCTCCATAAGAGTAATTGAAGGCCAACTTCTGGCTGACGGATACGACTTAGTCTGAGAGTACCGATTGGGGTTCGAACCTCGTCTCAGGCTGTCGTACTTTCTAAGCTCGTTTCAATTGGACAGGGGATAGATCGGAACATATATCGTGCGTTTAGCATTAGTAACAGCAAGTATCCCCGTTCCATCCCCGTTTGAATGGGACAGGAGATCGATCGGAAAGACAAACTACCAAGTAGTGCTAGAACGTATGCTAAATGATTGTTAATTATATATTTTTTAAATGGTGTATTTTACCTGTAGGCTGGGACAAACACTCGTACGGTTATCACGGCGACGACGGCCACTCGTTCTGCTCGTCGGGCACCGGGCAGCCGTACGGGCCCACCTTCACCACTGGCGACGTGATCGGCTGCGGTGTCAACCTCGTTGACAACACCTGCTTCTACACAAAGAATGGACACCATTTAGGGATCGCATTCAGAGGATTACCGGTGAGATTGATGCATTCTATACGTCATTCCATACGTCATTCATACGTCATTCATACGTCATTCCGTACGTTGTGGAATCATCTTTCATCCCAGCAATGGTACAATGGACATTTTTGTTATGGATGATAATGGAATGGCCCACCGCCTGCGCTAACGGTTATGCTGGCGAGGCGTCAGTGGAGGATGATAAGTGCAATAGGTCAGGTCAGTTGACTCAGTGCGGTAAATTCAGTAGGAACTTATCATGATGGTTTACAAAGGGAACCGCGTGGACGGTCAACCCTGATATGGTACATTGCTAGGAATTGGATTATTAGTCCACATTCCTAATAATTATATTCAATCGGTGTCTTTACTTACGACCACGTTTGAAGTCAGCAAACCAACATTTTATTGGTAGTGTCATTTATGTGTTAGACTCGGGAATTCTCAGCCCATTTATTATATATTTATTACATTATATACTTTAATCCTGGATTACTTTAATTGAAGTAGCTGTGGCCATGCAACATACATAAATCCTCGGAACGGTGAAGGTCTCTCCGTGAAGTCTGTGAAGACCCGAGGAGGCTTCAGCGCTTCTGAAAGGATCTTGGCTGGCTACTTTAGTAGACTCAGCTCATATTGTCTTCATGCACAGCGGGCCAGATGAGAAGCTAAATGTGGAAAACATAGTCTAATATGCAATATAATATAGTATGTTATGCGTTCGGCAGCCGAACCTGTACCCGACGGTGGGACTGCAGACTCCTGGCGAGGTGGTGGACGCGAACTTCGGCCAGCAGCCCTTTGTGTTCGACATCGAAGACATGCTGCGAGAACTGCGTGCCCGCACACGGCTCGCCATCGACGAGTTCCCGCTGCCCGACTCACAGGGCGAGTGGCAACAGGTGCTGCACAGGTCGGTTCCCATCACGGTCTCTGTAACATAGATATAGATAGATGAAGGTGAACTTCAGGCAGAAGATGTTCCTGTTCGACATCGAGGACATGCTGCAGGCGCCTTGCGAATGTCGAGTTCCTGCTGCCCGACTCGCAGGGCGAGTGGCAGCAGGTGCTGCACAGGTCGGTTCCCATCACGGTCTCTGTAACATAGATATAGATAGATGGAAGCTAACTTCGGGCAGAAGACATTCGTGTTCGACATCGAGGACATGCTGCAGGCGCCTCGTGAATGATGAGTTCTCGCTGCCCGACTCGCAGGGCGAGTGGCAGCAGGTGCTGCACAGGTCGGTTCCCATCACGGTCTCTGTAACATAGATATAGATAGATGGAGGCTAACTTCGGGCAGAAGATGTTCCTGTTCGAGGATATGCTGCAGGCGCCTCCCGAATGACGAGTTTCCGCTGCCCGACTCGCAGGGCGAGTGGCAGCAGGTGCTGCACAGGTCGGTTCTCACTGTGGTCTCTCCATATAGATAGATAGATAGATGGAGACTAACTTCGGGCAGAAGATGTTCCTGTTCGAGGATATGCTGCAGGCGCCTCCCGAATGACGAGTTTCCGCTGCCCGACTCGCAGGGCGAGTGGCAGCAGGTGCTGCACAGGTCGGTTACCATCACGGTCTCTGTAACATAGATATAGATAGATGGAGGCTAACTTCAGGCAGAAGATGTTCCTGTTCGAGGATATGCTGCAGGCGCCTCCCGAATGACGAGTTTCCGCTGCCCGACTCGCAGGGCGAGTGGCAGCAGGTGCTGCACAGGTCGGTTCTCACTGTGGTCTCTCCATATAGATAGATAGATAGATGGAGACTAACTTCGGGCAGAAGATGTTCCTGTTCGAGGATATGCTGCAGGCGCCTCCCGAATGACGAGTTTCCGCTGCCCGACTCGCAGGGCGAGTGGCAGCAGGTGCTGCACAGGTCGGTTACCATCACGGTCTCTGTAACATAGATATAGATAGATGGAGGCTAACTTCAGGCAGAAGATGTTCCTGTTCGAGGATATGCTGCAGGCGCCTCCCGAATGACGAGTTTCCGCTGCCCGACTCGCAGGGCGAGTGGCAGCAGGTGCTGCACAGGTCGGTTCTCACTGTGGTCTCTCCACATAGATATATATATGGGAGGCTAACTACAGGCAGAAGATATTCCTGTTCGAGGACATGCTGCAGATGCCTCGCCATCGACGAGTTCCTGCTGCCCATAGTTCCACCAGCGTGTTTTATAAATTTCAACATAAAATATAGCCTATGTGTTATTCAGATGCATAAGCTATATTAATGTAAAGTTTCATCAAAATCCGTTCAGTAGATTTTGTGTCAAATACACTTTTATCAACAAACATCCATACTTACAAACTTTCGCATTTATATAATATTTATAAATTAATATATGTATAAACAAAAAAAATCTTAAGTATTTATATCAGACAATGTGTAGTTGCGAACTATCAAAAGGACAATAATAGAATAATTGAAATGTATCAAAAAACATGACGTATCAAAAGATCTGTTCTAAAAATGTAGATTTAAAAATAAAAAAAATATCAAAAGAGGTTGCGCGGCCGCTAGTACCCATAACACAAGGTATGCTCACCGTGGGACTACAAGCGCTGTGATAATTGTCCAGGGTAAAAAAAATTGTATAAGGTGATGACGTGATGAGTGTTGTGTTACAGAATGGTGTCATCGTACCTGGTGCACCACGGGTACTGCAGCACTGCGCAGGCGTTCTCCCGCGCCACCGGACAACCTATAGACGAGGATATAGCATCCATTAAAAACAGACAAAGTCAGTATATGTCTCCACATGTTTATAACTAGCAGTAACCGTGACTTCGTCCGCGTGGAATTTAACTATATTTTTTCAAAATAAGGAGTAACTTAGGCTAAGTTACTCCTTATTACATTAGCTACCTGCCAAAAAAAGACCCGTCAAAATCCGTCCAGCAATTTCAGAGATGAACCGGAACAAACAGACAGACATACAAAAATTGTAAAAAAAATATTATTTTGGTGTATGTACCGTATTTATATTCATATATGCATGTAGTAAAAAACGGTTATTTCATTATTACAAACAGCCACTCCAATTTTATTTATCTATGCTAATATTATAAAGAGGAAAGATTTGTATTTTTGTGTGTATGTTTGTATTGAATAGGCTCCGAAACTTCTCGACCGATTTGAAAAATTCTTTTACCATTAGGAAGCTACACTCTCCCTGAGTGGCATAGGCTATATTACATTTTAAAAAAAATAGGGATCCGTACTATAACAATAATGTAACCCAAGTTGTAAAAATATTACATAAAAAATACCTAACACCTCGTGCGCTGCAAAAAGTATTGATGATAGAACAAAACGATGTACTACGACATTGCTAGCAATGTACCATGTTAAGTCGACCTCCACGCGGTTCCTGGAAACCATCGTGATAAATTCCTAGTGGATTTGTCACGATGGGCTAACTGACCTGACTTCGTATTCATCTTATCTTCTTCCATATGGGCCCCGCCAGCGTAAACCGTTAGCGCAGGCGGATGCACCATTTCATTATCATCCACAAAAAAAAAACTACGACTTTGTAGAACACATCATTATCTACAAAAAGTGTTGCGATGGCATGTGTCCAATTATTATAGTTATGTCACAATAACTGTTCTTTTAATTTATAAATTTAATTAAATTGCCGCCGCTAGATAAGCTCTCTATTTTATTTATATTATTAACCGGGTCTTAACACGAATAATTTTATGGCAAATAAAGGTATTTACCTCTCTCGACGTTTCGACTAGGTTGCACTAGCCGTGGTCACGAGCTGACTGGAGTAACAGCGATGTCAATGTAGATAGGTGACAGCAGTTTTTTCTTCATCTACCGTCACTAGATTGTTTAACGAAAGTTCGCGACACACAGCACTCACGGTATCCGTACACTTATCGACTGTTGATGCTACTGAACTTTGAATTTATTTATGACTGGATTCCACGCAGATGAAATTTTTTTATGTCATCTTCTTTATCTTAAGACCCGGTTAATAATTTAAATAATGTATATTAAACACGAAAGTTTAAAATTAACTAAGCCCTTTATTTGTATCTTGCTATTAATCCTTATCTAAATTACTTCATATTCACGACTGGTTCAGTACCTTTACATAACATTTTGAATTATTCAATTTGGAGATTCGATTCGAAAGATATCACGTATTTAAAAATATTATTCTTCTTAGTCGGTACACTCTTGTCAGGATGGTCGTGGTCAACATTTTGAATCATGATGTGTGAGGTTTTTGGTAATACGGCGCCATTCGTCGCGGACTGTAGCTTTCCGGGTACATTCGTAAACTGAGCACTTAGTTGCCTAGATCTGATCTGTCCATCTCATTGGTGATTCGTAAACTGAGCACTTAGTTGCGGCCTTGATCTGGTCTGTCCATCTCATTGGTGATCTACCACGTGGCCTGGTGCCTTCCACTTTTACCTGCACTACGAGACGCTCTATGGAGTCATTACCACGGCGAGATACGTGGCCGAAGAAGGTCAGAATTTAAAAATATTAAAAAAACTAAAGTATAAAAAAAAACCCCATTAAGCTTTTAAAAAAATTTAAGCCCACGGAACGTGTGCAATGGGACGAGGCTGTTACTAATTCCTAGTTACTAATACTACCTACTACTAATAACTGTGTTAAATATTGATTGTAATGTCTGCAGAAGTGTCAAAGTTGGTGGTGTCGGGCCGCATCGGCGAGGCCATCGAGCTGACGCGGCGGCTGTACCCCGGCCTGCTGGAGAGAGACCACGACCTGCTGTTCCTGCTCAAGTGTCGTCAGTTCGTCGAGATGGTCAACGGCACAGACTCCCAGGTGACGCCCGCCACTCGTAGTCTGTATTTTAATTCCGGAGACTAAACTGACAGGTGTAAATGTCAAACTTTACAAATAATGTTGCCACATATAGCAGTTTTTTTGTGTTGGCTATTGCCATATTGGCCATGTTTGTAGCACCTGTAGCACTGCGATCACATAGATCTATTGTGGTCGTCCTTTTCAAAGTTCGATACCTAGACCCGTCAGGGACAAGATTTGAAGGATATTCTTAGGAGCTATGTTTTTATCACTACGACTGATTTCCTCTTATTTAGTTGTTTAACCAGTTGGTTATATATTGAATATCTTTTCTATTTGAGTATTTAATTGATTTAGTGCTAATTGGTAGATTGTATTCACACACTTCAACTTAAAATGTAAAGTAATAATAGAATTATTTAAAAGAGCAACACGCAATTTTGTTGCTCGTTCTCCTTGTGATGAGACAGATTTAGAAATTAGATTAAAAAAATGTGATGACTATTCAAAAGTTCTTTAATGTAAGTTTATTTGAATAAATTATTTTCTATTCTATTTTGGTGCCAATGAACACCAGCTGTATGTTCACATAGGACATACATTAAAGCTGAGTGGAGCCATATCAGTGCATATATGGATGTAAAAACGACGGAGTGGAATGGTCATATTGATTCTATCTATCGCATGCCTAACCCTTATTAATTTACTTATAACAACATTTATTTATAACAATATGCAAGTTTATTGCTTGTTCTTTTTGTTTATATGAAAGGCGGTTGTATTGCAGGCGTGCGCGGATAAGGCGTGTGCGGCCAGCAACGGAGTCGCCACCTCAGTCATCTCACACACGTCACACTCGTCACACACGCACATGTGCGTCGCCAACGGACAGGATATACTTCCCCACACCAACGGTTAGTGTGGCTATTCAATAATTTATTTTTTTCGTAATAGCTTCATATCTACAGCTCACTGCTGGACATAGAATCGACGTGAATTTTATTGTCTATGTGTTATTATAATGTAGCAGCTACAGGAGTGTCTGTTTGTAATAATGAAATAACCATTTTTACTACATGCATATGAATATAATATTTATATTCATATTCATATACCAAAATAACATTTTTTACAATTTTTGTCTGTCTGTTTGTTTCGGCTCATCTCTGAAATGGCTGGACCGTTTTTGACGGGACTTTTTTTGGCAGCTAGCTGATATAATAAGGAGGAGCTTAGGCTACTTTTATTTTAGAAAAAGTAAAGTTAAATTCCACGCGGCCGAAGTCGCGGGTAATGCTAGTATTAAATAAGATTACTAATATCAATTAAGATATATATGCCTACTATCGAGATAGTAAGTTATCTGTGTATCCATCCACATTCACAAACTTTCGCTTTTATAATATATGTTATTCTGATAAGCTATATTACTGTAAAGTTTCTTTAAAATCCGTTCAGTAGTTTTTGCGTGAAAGAGTAACAAACATACATCTATTCACTCACAAACTTCCGCGTTTATAATTGTCCCCCACAAATATAAACGCGGAAGTTTGTGAGTGAATAGATGTATGTTTGTTGTTATATATGTATGTTTATTCAGTTCCGTGATAAATATTGTTTGATGACGGGTTTTAGGTAAATAAAACCGTCTCGGTTGAATGTTACTCGAGCACCGATTTTATTACATGTACAGTAATCTTACTAAGATTAAATTAAAAATTAAAAATATCTTTATTCACGTAGGTCTATTACAGACTCTTATGATATGTCAAATCTACCGTCAGTTCGGAATGATTTCGAGATGAGAAGAACTGACAAGAAACAATAATACTATTTCATTTAAATTCAAATTTGGGAGTATAGAGTGACCATCTGCATATGCTAAATAAAAAAGATAAACAAATAAGTGAATAAAATGGTATGGTAGGTAGATTGAGTGTGCGGCGTGTGTTGCAGGCGTGCGGGAGAGTGATATTGCGGCTGCGGGAGGTGCGGGGCTCGACGACGACCACCGGCCACGTGACGTGGACATGGCCCCGCACAACGGCGCCCACACACACCCACACACAGGTACCAACGCACTCACACACATTACAAAATTTAGAAATTGAAATAGTTCAGATTTTAACTCATTTATGAAGTTGTAAGAAGTTAAAAATAATATAAAAGAAGATTTATTTAAAAGAGAACCACACAAGGTTGTCACATGTTCTTTGTGCGATGAGTATGTGATCCGAATGAGTGGTAGAATAAAAATGTGACTATTCAAAAGTTTATATTAAGTTTATTTAAATATCTAAATAATTGTACTTTCAATATATTTATAATTTGACTTAAAAACTGTCTGCCTTATTCTGTTCAAACGGGAATTATTAGCAATTGCTCTACTTGATATAATGCTAGGTGAAGTGATTGTATTGGGTTCGATTCCCAACATTACACATAAATGTCTATTTTATTTGATATTACTTTTGTATTTATTTACATAGTGGGTGCTAAGAATGTTAATTCCGTATTGGTATGAAACAGGTTCGACTCCTGCCCTAAAAATCGAATTGGACAATTGTGCCACACAAGTATAAATAATATTTATATGAAATGATATATACATAAATTGTACTCATAATTTGTAATTATATAATATCGTATTATATCAATAATAATTATTATTTAAATTTATGTAAGTAAATAAACATGTGCCTAATTTATCGTGCCACATACACAATATATTTTTTATGTTTCATCGTTATGATTTGCACTACACCTCATTATGTTTAGTGATCAACATACATCATAATATCTGAACATTATTGTTTATTTGCTATTAGCATTTTAGTTTTGCATGCACATAATATATCTGATATATTAACATGGTCAAATCTATATATATTTGAATATATATCAATTAGAGGGACTTTAAACAGAGTCATCCCATCCCTGATGGCCAGGGACACTGGTCAAACGCTGAATTCATAACATATGAAGAACTAACAACGGAAATTTTCAAGTGTACTTCAATATAACAATGTACAAGCTTTTCTAGATGTAGTATATGCGAACAATATTGTGGAAATCAGAATTATCAGTAAAATTACAAGATATAACTGTTAGTTTAAGGTTTAAGTACTTAGTTCTGAGGAATGGCAATGTATGAGCGGTACCGCTGTTGTCAACGTCTATTTTGAATGAATGAATGAATGAATAAATGAAAAACTCTTTATTGTTCCTCTCACAGAAAGAAAATAACAATTACATAAATTAATATCTACACTAAATATAAAAAAAAAACAATGGGCGGCCTTATCGCTAAATAGCGATTTCTTCCAGGCAAACATATATATTGTGACATACATGATTGTATGTTGGGATTCATCATTAGGTGGACCGGCAGCTATGTTGGCCATTTTAATTTCATAAAGTTTAAAGCGTCCATAGGCTACGGGGCCGAGTGAATGGCACTCCAAACCAGCGGAAGGACTTATAGAACGGCTGAAGGCCAACTCCGGCCTGATGGATACGACTTTAGTCTAAGGACACTGCTAGGGGTTCGAACCTTGGTTCAAGTCACTGTTATTTCAATTCCCGTTTGATTTGGACACGGGGTCTCGGAGGGGGTCAATACTTCGTAATTGTACGAGATGGGTTTGAACCTTGGCACATGCCGTTGTAATGTGGATCTCCGTTTGAATTGGACGGGGATCGATCGGAGGGGTCAATAATGAATGCAATGTAGGGTCAGTAACGCTGTTGTCAATGTGTATTTTGTGACGTTCGTGGTGGTATATTGGTATTTATTATTAGGTGGATTTGCAGCTATATTTGCCATTTTAATTTCATAAATTTTCAATTGTCCATAGAGTACAGTAACCGTTTACCATTGGGTACTGTTGTTATAATCCTAAAAGTGGTTAAAATTACATACTATCATTATAAGAAACAAAAGCTGTGAATTTAAGCTAATGTATTGTTGGCAACACTTTTTGTCAGTCCTCAGTGTCAGTTATTTTTATTGTCAAACAAAATCCGGCTCGAAGGATGAGAAATGGCAGAGAAAATACCAGGGTACGGAGACAAGTGCTCATTAGTCCTCAGCTGGCCTTTGCAGCTTCATCGAACGGTAGAGAGCGAGTTCAGATGGCAGTCCAAACCTGCGGATGGACTTATGGAGCGGCCAACTCCTGCCTGTCGGTTGCGACTTTAGTCTGAGGGAACCACTATGGGTTCGAACCTCGGCTTAGGCCGTCGTAATCTCCTCGTTTGAATTGGACGAGGATTGGTCGGAGAAATCAATAGTCTTGAATGGCAACGCATGAAGGATGCTACGGCCGTCACTAGACCTGATCCGTAACACTGTTCATGTATATAGGTGACAGTTGCAACATTGATCAGATTGGCCGTCAGTCTGTTAGCAATTTTAATTATATAAAATAAATAGCAGACCCGGCCACGCGTTGCTGTGGCTAAGGTTCTTGAAATAAAATAATATTGCGACTATAAATTGAGATGTAAGCTATCCTATCTCTCAAGTTGGATCAAATTGCACACAATGTTCAAATCAAATTTTCAATTGGTTCTGTAGTTTAGGAGTCCATCGCGGATAAACAACGTGACACGTAACCTATACATCTATACATATAAATAAAATTGGAGTGTCTGTTTGTAATATTGAAATAACCGTTTTTTACTACATGCATATGAATATAAATACGCTATATACACCAAAATAATATTTTTTACAAACTTTGTGTGGCTGTCTGTTTATTCCGACTAATCTCTGAAATGGCTGCACCGATTTTGATGGGACTTTTACTAGAACTTAGCTGATGTAATAATGAGTAACTTAGGCTACTTTTCTTTTAGAAAAATAAAGTTAACTTCCACGCGGACGAAATCGCGTTTTCAGCTAGTTTTTATATATAAGGTTTCCACGGTATTGTCCTAGTTAATTAGTTATTAACAAGAGGGTGCATGTGTCGTTAGTGGTGGCTTCTTCGTCTTCTTCACCGCTCCTGTGACCACCGCATTAGAGCATCCCACACACGCACATTGTCGCGTTTTTTTTTGTCTCGTCGCTAACGCATGCCGCCGGCCGTATGTCGTCCTACTCATACTGTTAGGGGTGTATTACACTGTCACACTAATATGATCATGTATTGTATAACAGAATACTGTACGCAAGGAATAAAGCTACTGTTTAGATTTATTTATTTAGTTTTAAAAGATTAACGGTGTTACATGTTGTAAATGCGTGAAACGAAATGTTTCACGTTTATAAATTAATGTGTATATGTTTAATGCTAAAAAACGTCATTCTTGAACTGATAATTAGACAGACCTCGGAACTATAAATACGGTATTTACACCAAAATATTTTGTTTACAATTTTTGTTTGTCTGTCTGTTTGTTCCGGCTAATCTCTGAAATGGCTGGACCGATTTTGATGGGACTCTTATTAGCAGGTAGCTGATGTAATAAGGAACTTCGGATACCTTTACTTTAGAAAATTTCTTTTATTTTAGAAAAATAAAGTTACATTCCACGCGGACAAATTCGCGTGTACAGCTAGTTTAAATATAATTTATTTACATTATAAGATTCCATGTGAGCAGATTATTTTTATGCTATGACATCACTTAGTGAATTGGATAAAGAAATTTGTTCTGTTACACGTTATATGATCTATAGAAATTTTAAACTGAACTATATTGTAATTTTTTTATTAACATGAAAAGTTTCTAACATCTTTATCGATGACTAAAAATTATATATATTTGACAGTGTAATATATACCGTAGTGCGTGTTTACACGTACCGTGGTGAGGACAGCGGCCCATTGGTCCATTTACATAACAGATGGTGATTTAAATATATAAACTAATGTTTGAATGTCGGTCATTTTGTTAAGTACATTTATTGTTAAATTAAGTCGTAACATTAGAATTATTTACGTGAGAGTTACATTATTGGGTGTAGTGAATAAAAATAATGAGTAATGGTTTCAAGTCAAGGTATCCGACGATCTGGTCAAGATCGCTGGAAGGCATTGGATGCGAGCAGCGCAGGACCGATCGTCGTGGAGATCTTTGGGAGAGGCATTTGTTCAGCGTCCACTGCTGAACAAAGGCCACTTCCGGGCTGAGATGATAAAGTCAAGTTTTACTTACTATTTGTTCTTGGTTAGCATATGCTGGCCACTCTATTCTCTCAAATTTGAATTTATAATGTACTAGCTGACCCGGCAAACGTTGTTTTGCCCTAAAATAAAAAAAAATTTAGGGGTGGACTACCCCTAATCTTTAGGGGGATGAAAAATAGATGTTGGCCGATTCTCAGACCTACTCAATACGCTCACAAAATTTCATGAGAATCGGTCAAGCCGTCTCGGAGGAGTATGGGAACGAAAACTGTGACACGAGAATTTTATATATAAGATAATATTAATTTAAAAAGAATACGAGCTGAGTTTCTTGTCAGTTCTTCTCATCTCGAAATCATTCCGAACTGACAGTAGATCTGACATATCATAAGAGTCTGTAATAGACCTACATGAATAAAGATATTTTGAATTTTGTATTTTTTGAGTTATATATTATTTGTGATGTAATGTTTATTTACGATTAAAACTAAAATGGTCGCAAAAATTTCGTATGACATATATTAAAATTTGTTTTTGTATGTTATATACTTTATCTTTATGTTAATTTAATATACTTGTAACATGATATACAGTTTTAATTTGATTTTTTCCTGTTTTTAGTTTATTCCTTTTGTAGAGTTGCATTAATTTTGTTAAATATATTTTTTTTTTTTATTTATTTATTTAGGATCAAAAACAGGTTCACAATTAGGAAACTTATAATTATTTTACATTTTCTACGTACTATGTTATTGTAAACCCAACATGCATGATCACAAATTATATTAAAGTATTAAGATATGTGGGTCGCATACATACTAAACGCATACAAGCTAATATATATAATTAAACAAACTGACGAAGAAAAAATGTCTTTGTTAATGTTTGTTTGTATTGAAATTTTGACATTATATTGTCAAACGTTGAAATTTAACAGTATATTGTATATAAGACAGATTTGGAGTCGTGTCGTATCAAGGCTTAAAGAGTGTGATGGAAGATCGTAGAAAGGGGCAAGAGCTCCACCGACAAGAGCGTAGCTCTTAAATTTATAAATATATTTAAGGCAATTAGTTACTATAAATGTTATTTTTATTCACTACAACCACTCTCCAAGGCGTCAGTATGAATATATAAGATATTGTAGATTAAATAATTATTATAGAATTGCGAAATTTATTAGTCTATGCTTCTAATGTGTTTTTTTTCTAAAATGTACATAATAAAGTAAATGGGCCGCTATACGCTTTTGGCTAACAATGCATCTGGATCGCTTGCGATTTTCGGTCACGCCGCCGGTCCGGCGTCCGGAGTACAATGTCCGGAACCCGGTATCTGGTCCCCGGCGTCCTTGGTCCGATATCTGGTGTTCGCACTCCGAGACCCGGTGTTCGATGTCCGATATCCGGTATTAAGTCATCCGGTACCCGATCCCCGGTGTTCGATACCCGGTATCTACCATCAGGGACCCTGTGACCGGTGTTCGATATCCGGAATCTGTTATCGGATACCCGGTGTCCGGTGTTCGATACCGGAATCTGTCATCCGGGACCCGGTGTCCGGAGTCCGGTATCCGTCGTCCGGCGGCGGGATGACTCGCGCGTGGTTGTAGGTTCGGAGCAGCTGCCGCTGAAGGGCATGCCCGGGGTGACGGCGAGCGTCGCCGCGCTCATGGCCCAGTATCGCGCCGGTGGGTACCCGCGCCCCATACGCCCCCGCATCCCCCGCATCCCCTGCATCCACCGCCCGCTCCCCTCTCACATCCTCACACCCATACACACATCCATCTCGTGCCATCTCTCTCGCACTTGTATGGTCATCATGAGATTGTACCTAGGATGGTTGAGTTCGAGTGAGAGCAAGCGAGACAACGATATAAGTTTTTTGTGGGAAGACAGAGTAAGATATAAATGTAAAATGTTAATTGGACTCTATTCTCCGCAATTAACCTCTCATTTGAGCCGTTGTATTAAGAGCCGAGACTACAAAAGTAGCACAGCTTCTACCATAAGCGCAGAAGAGTAAGAATAAACCATTTCTTTTCATCCCCAAAATGTCGAGAGAGTCGACTAGGGCAATCAGAAAAGAATGAAGAAGTTAGAAAAGTATATACCAAGCTGGCTGGCCAGCTTAGTAGTAATAAGCTAAATCTTTCTCATACAAAGACCGTAGAATACACACTTAACATTCGTATATTGTCGATGCTTGTATTTATTTATGTGATCCCATTCCGCTGATTACCAGTTACAATGCTAACCTAGAGAAAAAGAAAGAATTATACTCTGTTGAGCTATATAGTTGGATTTTCTCGTTTTATGATAATAATGATGAAATAAATAGATTTTATATTCACATGTACTGTCAATTAGTTAATTTAAACTGGATACAGTACATATTACCTAAAAAGTTAAGACACGTATTAGATAGTACTATTGTCTTGGGATTGAAAAAAAATTGACTAAAATCTTCCCTTTCCATCACAACAGAATGTGAATATTATTGTGTATGCCGTGTAGAATCATACTCATAAATACGTTTGTATCGTACTGAGATCTAGGTTAAGTAATTAAGACCTAATGATGACTAAATATATAAGATAAGTAATAAAATAAAATACATACAAGACCGGAGAATACATTGTTAACATTTATAAATTGTTGATGCTTGTATTCATTTTTACGATCCATTCCTATGATTAGAAGTTACAATACTAACCTAGAGAAAATGACAAATACTCAGTCAGAAAATCCTCGGTATGATCTCTAGAATAAAATAAACTACATACAAAACCGGAGAATACATTCTTAACACTCATAAATTGTCGATGCTTGTATTTATGTTTGCGATTCCATTCCTCTGATCACAACTTACAATGCTAACCTACAGAAAATTACAATACTCAACAAGATAATCCTCGGTAGGATCACAAGTTTGAAATAAAATACATACAAGACCGAAGAATACATCCTAACATTCATAAATTGTCGATGCTTGTATTTATTTTTACGATCCATTCCTATGATTAGAAGTTACAATGCTAACCTAGAGAAAATGACAAATACTCGGCCTGAAAATCCTCGGTATGATCTCTAGAATAAAATAAAATACATACAAGACCGAAGAATACATTCCTAACATTCATAAATTGTCGATGCTTGTATTTATTTTTACGATCCATTTCTATGACTAGAAGTTACAATGCTAACCTAGAGAAAATGACAAATACTCAGCCAGAAAATCCTCGGTATGATCTCTAGAATAAAATAAAATACATACAAGACCGAAGAATACATCCTAACATTCATAAATTGTCGATGCTTGTATTTATTTTCACGATCCATTCCTATGATTGGAAATTACAATGCTAACCTAGAGAAAATGACAAATATTCAGCCAGAAAATCCTCGGTATGGTCTCTAGAATAAAATAAAATACATACAAGACCGGAGAATACATTTCTAACATTCGTAAATTGTCGATGCTTGTATTTATGTTTGCGATTCCATTCCTCTGATCACAACTTACAATGCTAACCTACAGAAAATTACAAATACTCAACAAGATAATCTAATCCTCGGTACGATCACAAGAATAAAATAAAATACATACAAGACCGGAGAATACATTTCTAACATTCATAAATTGTCGATGCTTGTATTTATGTTTGCGATTCCATTCCTCTGATCACAACTTACAATGCTAACCTACAGAAAATTACAAATACTCAACAAGATAATGTAATCCTCGGTACGATCACAAGAATAAAATAAAATACATACAAGACCGGAGAATACATTCTTAACATTCATAATTTGTCGATGCTTGTATTTCTTTTTGCGATTCCATTCCTCTATTAACTTGGATGTCCTGCAAATTTGTGTCCTCTGCCATAGGTTTATTTTTAGCTCGTTTTCACCCCTCAATGGGTCCTGTTCTATTATCGTATCATTGTTAACATCACCGATCGTCATCATCATCACCACACGATGATCACTAACATTCATGTAACAAGTCATGCTACGAGAGGCGTGTAGTAAGTACGTTTTATTACATTAATGTTTTATGTAAGCAAGCTCGACGCGATGTAGGTAAGTCCATGTTGTTTGTTTATATTAATTTTGGACGTTTTTTAACTCGTTGATTGTTACAGTCATGTCACACTTTTTCCCATCCATCAAACACTTCATCCAGAGAATTTAGGAGTATGTATTTTTGGTGATAATGTGATTTTCGTTGAAATACAATACAAATTATGTTGGCGTGAGTAGAATTATTTAACTATTGTTGTATTAACATACTACCTGTCAAGACATATAAAAGGCTTAAATATGTGGATATATTAATAAATAAGTATCTCTGAACAACTCGCACAGCGCTATGAAGTTAGGATGAGACTAACCAGAGATTTGTGAGAGTTGGGTGTAAATCGAGAGGTTGAAGATTTTTTTATAGTATTTAGGTATATAAAAATTCCTTTTGTATGTCTGTGTGTCGAATTGTATTGAAATCTGCCAAGTTACTAAGTTTAGCGTAATAGGTTATCAAACGTAAAAGAATACCGAAAACGAGCAAGGAGCGTGTTGTTCTCGTAAGATTTTTGATCGTTCTTTTTGTGATGAAATTGTTTTGTGAATGAGCGGTTAATTAAAAAAATATGTATAACTGTTCAAAAGTCTTATTTGAATAAAGAATTTTCTGATCTTTTCTATAGTCCATTGCATTTGTTGAGATTGCTTTCTTTAAATATTTATACAGAAAACAGCATCCTTCACGTTGTCGTAATTTCACTTGTTTACACAAAACAAATCGAGTTAAGAAACGTCAATATAACTAGCATGTAGTAAACACAGTTATGTTACTTGATATTGTTTTTTTTAATATTTGATGGCATGGTCTCCGCGGATTGGCGCGGCCTTGGGTCGGGGGACGGGGGACGGGGTGGGTGCATGGTCACGGGGTGGTTTTGGGATACGCATGGTATTATATGAACGTATCGCTTTTTATTTATTATTGCGTATATTAGTAACTTTATATATTACATTTATTATATATATATATAATGGGGTTAACAGCATGTTCCGACGCGCCAAGTCACAGTGTTATGTATGCGCGCACAGTTAACTCACTGACGCGGGTGATGCGCCGCTCGAATACAGAATTTTCTTTTTTTTCCAAATATAACTGTTTACTAAACTTTAATACATGTGGATGAAGGTGACGCGAATTGTGCTCGCTAGGTATACTATCCGATCTCATATCAGATGTATCTTTACATATCCTTTCAACTGTCAGCTGTCAAAATGATGTTAACGGTCCATCTCTGAGACCAATTACAAGACTTCTCACAGATGACGCTATAGTGTCCGAGTACCATCATTGGCTCCTTCGCAGACGAGAGGATAAAATGAAGTCGCTGTCTGTTCGCTTAGGTCTTTTAAACTATGCAACGGATTTTCATGCAGTTGTTAGTCATAGAGTGATTCAAGAGGAAAGTTTTTTATAATACATGTACACCTGTGTGAAACCGAAGCGGGTAGCCATATATATATAATTTGGGTTTCAATGTAAAATGTGGTAGATTATTGGTCAGCCGGACAGGAATAGGTCGGAGTCACCAGTTTCCTTCCGGTTTAAAACTTCTTTCTTCCGAGAGTATATAGTTCATGTAAAAAGCTAGTTTCATCACCGAGTCCGTTAGCCAGAGATCTAGCGGACTCGGTGATGAAACTAGTACGGTAATAGTAAAATTAATATATCACTAACTCCAAGAAGAAACTCTAGTTATAAATAATCTTCGTGATTTGATAACACCTCCTTTATTAGTGTAAATTGATAACGGTTTTTACATTTTATTTTCTCGTCTAAAATTTACATGTTTGTTGTAAACATTTTCAGAAATGATAAAATTTCTATGCATATAACAATAAATAGCGTATAGTGAGCATGATTCTAGTCACTTCCGGCACGCGCGTTGCGTTGCGTAGCGTCGCGGTACGTTGCGTAGCGTTGCGTAGCGTCGCGGTACGTTGCGTAGCGTTGCGTAGCGTCGCGGTACGTTGCGCAGCGTCGCGGTACGTTGCGTAGCGTTGCGTAGCGTCGCGGTACGTTGCGTAGCGTTGCGTAGCGTCGCGGTACGTTGCGTAGCGTTGCGTAGCGTCGCGGTACGTTGCGTAGCGTTGCGTAGCGTCGCGGTACGTTGCGTAGCGTTGCGTAGCATCGCGGTACGTTGCGTAGCGTCGCGGTACGTTGCGTAGCGTTGCGTAGCGTCCCGTCGCGGTGCGTTGCGAAGCGAACGCCCGGTGAGGTTGTGTTGTGTTGCATGGAGGCGGCTGCGGGTGTCCGGAGTGCGCGGGGGAGGGCGCGGGCGGCGCGGGGGGCGAGGGCGAGGGCTGCGGCGCGCGCGCCTCAGTCGAACGCATGCTGGCCTTCGGACGCGACCTCTACGCCATGAGCCAGAAGTTGCAGCAGGATCCCTATCATAAGTCAATGTTGGAGGTCAGTATCATTGTTCAAAATATTGGGTAATCATACAGCGCCATTTAGTTTTAATTAATTTGAAACTCAAATTTATCACAGTTTTAGTAAGTAGCGGTTTAGCACACCATAGTGGTCATAAATTTATTTACTTGCGGTGTTCGCGGGATCGATTCCTCGCACGGTACAAACATTTGTGTTCTTGAGTGATTGTTTGTATCTGTCCTGGTATTCTATGGATACTATGTATGTTTATTTCTGTGATGATAGTTGCGTATATAAATAAATAAAAATGTGTAAGTATTTATAAAAATTACTAGCTGTCTAGTGGGTACTACACTAACACAAGCTCTGCCTGCTTCCTTGGGAATGAATCGTGAATTATCCTAGGGTATTATTATTATAAAAAAAGTAGGCAATATTGCCTATATTAATTGTAAGTATGCACAAGTTATTGTGGGTGAGTGTACGAGAGTGTGTGGTACAGGACGCGTTCAGCCTGCTGGCGTACAGCAACCCGTGGGACAGTCCCGTGGGGTGGCAGCTGGAGCCCGTGCGCCGCGAGGCCGTTTGCGAAGCCCTCAACTCTGCCATACTCGGTATGTTTACATACTGTGATACTTCTAATTACTATGGTAATGCATACTAATTACATTAAATTAATTATGATTAAAATAATCGTTATTAAAAAAAAGGAATATGGGACATACCTAGTAGATGTGAAACTTTAAGGCACTGCCATTGTCCTTTCTCTATCGGTACATCGATGATGGTGGTGGTGATGATCATAATGCCTGATGTGGACGACAATGATGATATTATCATCATCAATATTAAAATCATGATTATTATCATCGACATCATCAAAATCATCGTCGAAATCGTGTTTGCCAATAATGTTATCGACATATTTTTGGAATCGCACGATCGAGTAGAAGTTACGTGGATTGATCTCTATCTCAACATCTTCGGTATTTCTCCGATGTGAACAGATAGGGGTCCTTGAGGTCCCGTCCTTTTGGGCACCGGGCACATATACTACACCAGTTTCTAAAACGACTAGGTCTTTGGAACTGGCGATCGTTTTCGATGGCAGCTATCTTTTCATACGTAGCTCAGCTCGGGGGTCGTACTTGGGTTTTTGTATATCGACTGGTGGCGTTGCAGAGGCGCAGGGCATGGCGTGGGTGTCGCCGGTGGAGGCGAGCGTGGCGCACACGCGGGACCTCCTCCGGCGCATGTCCCGCGCCGCGCTCGGGGCCTGCGCCTTCGCGGACCTGCCCGCCCTACTGCGGCGCTGACCTCGCCCGCGACACACCCGCGGGGCCCGCCCGGGGCTCCGGCGCCCGGCCCGCACCGCGCCCGGGGCCCCGCCGGCCCTGCCGGCGCTGCTGCGGCGCTGATCTCGCCCGCGACCCAGCCGCGGGGCCCGCCAGGCCCGCGCCGCGTCCAGGGCCCTGCCAGCCATGCCGGCGCTGCTGCGGCGCTGACCGAGCCGCCCAGTGAGTCCTCCACTTTCTAAACCGACCGACTGATCGTCGACTAGGAGAGGACGCGTACGTGTACTCGTAGCGAGGCGGGTCGTCCGTGAGGAAGCGGCGCCGTGCCCCCGAGCCGTGTATATATGTATGTCATACGCACATCCGACGCCTTATGTGAGCTATAGTCAGTGTGAGCGCGAGTGTGGTGTATCCGTGTGCCGATTCTCTAGAGAGTGCTACTAGTGGACCTTCAGGTCCCGAGCCGTCGTGTCGTGGGAGTCGTGGAACGGTCTAATGTGCGATTTTTTTATGACCTCACGCTGTGATGTTGGTATGTCGAGTTATTGAAATCGAACGTTTCTTTTTATATTAAGTTTATGACGTAGCGTATGTGAGACTTTTTTTATGACCGCGTCGTTTGTATCGCTCGTTCGTCGCCGGCCGGCGCTCGGCCGTCACGCTTTGCCGAGTCTTTTTTATATTTATGAAGTGTACGAGATTTATATATGTTTAATATAAATGATTATTTAAATTGTGCTCCGAGATGACTTCGACGGTACGGACGTTGTAATGAAATGAGTTGTATTATCGAATCGAATATAGTTATAGTGATGGGTTGGATTCACGGACTGTGCGTTGTATATTGTGTTTCGAGTTATGTAACAATAGATATATCGATATAGTTATAAATAATGTATCGGGCGACGCGGGGCACTGTTGCTCTGAATATATTATCAGCATTAGTGCTTGTAATGGCGCACTTGCGAATGATCTATATCAAACGAGGCGTGGACTAGACGCTATAATCTGTAGCATTCGTGATAAAAATGTGTTGTCTCTGATTTTATGATATTACTCTGTGGCCTGATTTCGCGCGCTTTTCGCTGTCAGCCGCTTGTCCCCCGTCCGCGCCTCAGTGTTGCCAGTTTAAATTATATTAAATGTGATTATGATATAAAAGACTCTTGGGTATCAACAGTGCCACCGATCTTAGTATGTAGCTGTACGGTTATGTGAGAGGGAAATAGTTCGCGTGTAGAGATAGTAAGTAATACAGGTATGTGTCCGCCGTCATTGCTGATTGTTACACGCGCCAGTAAAGACGGCGAGTACGTACGGCCGGTGACTTCGGCCGAGGCTGGTTGTATGGGACAAACAGACTTGGATATATATATAATTATATATATGTATACATATATAATGCCCTTCAATAGCAATATATGATTTGTAATAATTATTGTCTTGAAAGTCTTTTAGGCTAAAGTAATCACCTAGTTGGTTATGATATTTATGTATCGTTAAAAATGTTATGATTTATGATCTATGTTATTTCAAATGCAGGATTTAAACATAGACAAGGTGTTTAGTTTTTCTATGTGATATTCGAACAGCTGTGTCGGTGGGAGTGCTGGAAAAATTAAGTACTGTATTTGTATTGCGTTTCAAAAACGAACAGTTTTGTATTGATTTGGAATAATGAATAATTATAGAAGATTGATCAATCTCAAATGTTAGGAGTTATTACATTATAAATTATGTTATTTAACAGACACTAGAATCTGTTTATTTCACAATTTTTTATATCACTACGATGTTGTAATTATAATCTGTCAAATTATTTTCATTTTTATTTTAAAACCTTAATGTCGTCTGTATATTGTATAACTAATATTGTTTTATATCCTATTTTTTCTAAATACATTAATGTAAATATAATTCTATATATTTGAATATGTAATACACCCTTCTAAGTAAAAAATCGTTATAAATATATTATGTCACAATTGTATTCTAAAAGATGTTAACGGATATAACGCCTAAATATTGTCCTGCATATACAAGTTTGTTTGTCCTAGCGGTTACGTGATTACTTGTAACATTAGAAACATCAATAAAGACGAGCAATATCTAATAGACGTCAGATGATAATCCATTTGTAAATATGTGAGGATTTGTGTGAATGTTACAAGTGCGTACCCGTGGAACGTGAGCGAGCGTGCGCGCACGCTGAGTGACAACGCCTCCGAGTTGCGAACGTTGCGGGCGGCGATGACTGTATTTTTTATTAAATTGATCATATTGGTAATGGTACACTTACCTGCTCCAGCGGTATACGCTGGCGGGGCACCAGTGGGAGATACTAAAATGACCATGAGGTCAGTGGCGGCGGATGACGGATGAATATTTTTTATTAAATTGATCATATTGGTAATGGTACACTTACCTGCTCCAGCGGTATACGCTGGCGGGGCACCAGTGGGAGATACTAAAATGACCATGAGGTCAGTTAGTCTATCGTAACAATAAATTTGTATATAATGGACTAACTGACCTCACTTATGGATTTCCCTGGCGGGGGACCAGCTGGTAGGATGGCAGATATAATGACAATGAGTTTAGGTCAGTTAGTACATCTTGACAAATTGATTAGCAGTTTATGGAGTTCACTGGGGACACCAGCTGGTAGGATGGCAGATATAATGACAATGAGTGGCCTCATGGTTAGTTAGTACATCTTCTGATGGTTTCCAGTAACCTGACGTGGTACATTGGTAACAGAGTCATTAGTTCATATTATTAACAATTCAATATACTAGTCGATCATATAACAAACAAAGGATGATGCGTTGTTCAGTGTTGAGATTTGGCGTTCAATGCAGGACTGAAAGTGACAAAATTGTATCATCATTGCCCTGCCATTATTCCCGATCATGACAAATTCACCAGCAATTTAACATGATGGTTTCCACGGAGAACCGCGTGAAGATAAATCTGATATGGTACCTTGTTAGGAATAGGGTCATCAGTCCATATTACTAACAACTCCATTCCGGGGGAAGGGGATGCTATGGGTGTGGATTGCAAACAATATCCATTTAGCAATATATTGTCATTTTCCGGTTTCAGAAAACATTATGATAAACTCTTAGTGAAAACATTCATGCTCATTTTATCATCTTCTACTGGTGCCAAAAAACATTCATTTTACGCAAGTGTCACCATTCCATTATCATCCATAAAAAAAAACAACTCCAAACGTAGAAAGATCATATCACATTAGTCGACTTGATATATGTATAAAAAAAACAATGCGTTGTTCAGTGCAGGACAGAAAGTAACAACACTGTATCATCATTGCCTTGCCATTATCCCATTATTTATGGTCGGCGCTGTATGTCATCTTCCACGGTCGTCATATCTAAGCTTACTCTCCTTTACATATCTTTCGTACAATCCATTTTATTGTTTCCTTTCCATTCATCCACAATACAAACTTATAAACATTTCCTTTATTTCTCCCAAAAAACATTCATTTTACCAAGTGTCTCGCCTATTTACCCGTCGATACAATTCAAACGGGGATCGAATCGATAGCCCGGGCCGAAGTTCGAACCCCTAGCGTTGCCGTTTGAAACTCGTATCCGTCAGGCTGGAGTTGGCCTTCAGCCGCTCCATCAGTCCTTCCGCTAGTATCAGTTAATGCATACTTACTATTCTAATTATTTTATATTTAGTGCAACAAAGAGTATAAATAAATAACTCAATCCCCCTCCATCGATCCCCCGTCCAATTCAAACGGGGATCTAAATTACGACGGCCTGAGCCGAGGTTCGAACCCTTAGCGGTGCCCTCAGACTAAAGTCGTATCCATCAGGCTGGAGTTGGCCTTCAGCCGCTCCATAAGTCCTGCGTATTTGGAGTGCCATCTGCACTCGCCCCCTATCGTCTGGTGAAGCTGTAAAGGCCAGCTGCGGTTAACAGTATTAGGATTAAAAAAAACAGCTTGCTTTTGTATGTTCCGGTTTAAAATATGAGGTTTTTTATTTGTTTAAAAATTTAAGGACTTTCATATAATCTACAAATAAAAGGAGGATGGGGTAAGGTAAGAAATTTCAGTGTACAGAGGCATGACGTCATAGTCCTCAGTAATCACTATGCATGAGAGATATCACGGGTATCACATGATAACGTGATATCCGTAGTACTGTTCATGTATATACACGATGGTAATCGCTTACGAGTATCACATGATAACGTGATTATTGTAGTGCCGTTTATGTATATAGATGTAGATGATGGTTATCGCTTACCATCAGGCGGGACATAAGTTAAAATAAATTGGTTATATCCGCTCGGAGTGAGTTCGCCGTCCGCAACTGTCGCTAAACTCTACTGTAAACATAATTCTTACAATATTGTTCTTATATTGTTTCGTTTTCTTTTTTAATAATATATTGTGTTTAAACGGCTCTTGTGTTTCATTTCCTTTGTATTTTCTAAGAAAATAATTCAGCTCAGTTTATTTACTTGTATATGTGTATATAAAGGACTTAAAATTTGATTAAATAATATTATTAATCTTGTTTCCAAACTAAAATATATAAATAAAACTACGCACCGGATTTTGAAGCGGTTTGTTTTAATGGATAGAGTGATTCAAGAGGAAGGTTTATAAGTATAATACATGCACACCTGTGCGAAGCCGGGGTGGGTAGCTAGTGTTTTTTTATAGTATAGAGGATAAACGAGCATGCGGCTCACCTGATGGTAAGTGATTACCGCCGCCCATGAGCACCCGCAACACCAGGGGAATTGCCAGTACGTTGTCGGCCATTTAAAAAGGAATAAGCTCTTTTCTTGAAGGTTTCAATATCGTATCGGTTCGGAAATACCATTGCTGGAAGGTGATTCCACAATGTGGTTATGGGTGCTGAAAAATTTTAGAAAAATACATGGTGGAGGGCCGCCATTCATCCAGATGATCAGGATGGTATTTTAGTTTCTGGCGGGTGGTACGGTGGTGAAACTCAGCAGCTGGTATTAATCCGA